CCCTTTGAAGTTCCATGTCCAGCCACCATGGTGACCACCGCTGCCCCACAAGCTTGCCTGAGCTTTTCTCCGATCGTTCTCTTCGATTCGTGAATCAAAGAGCTATCACCGGACAGGTTTTGAGGTTTCATCCTCAAATAATTTTTTTTTGCTAAGGCTAAAAAAGATATAGAATTCAAATACTGAAGGTGGGTGTATACTTATAGAAAAGTGCCCTCCATTATTAAGAGAGAGAGAATGGGAATACTGTTGATGCTTGTTGGTGGGGTCCATGTGGCCTTTTGAAAAAGACTAGATTCGACATGTTCGCGGAATACAGATCAGCTTAATAGTCGATTTGGTGATCCATCTAGTCAGAATAATTCATCCTCTCATTGAGAGGTAAAAATCATATAAACGACCCCTGGGGTTTGTAGGTATGACATTCTGTCCCCAAGGTTTGAAAAGGGAGGGGGAGGGGATTCTAGGATCCACATAATTTAGAGTACACTTTCTCTTCAATTTTTTCTTAATATGTTAATGAGTGAGAAATTCACCTGCATACAATAAATCTCACTTAAATACATGGAGGATGATGTGTGAAAAAGAGAATTAAAGAAAAAATTTATTAGAGAAAATTTTACTCCGAAATTTTGTGTGAGGATGGGAGACAAAATACGGAGAGAAAAGTTGGGTTTTAGGTTGATGGAAAAGTGAAAAGGTGAAACTATCGTTATAACATTTTCATCAATTCCATTAGTTGACCAAGATTGACTATAATTTCTCAAAACCTTAGGGGCCAAATTGTACTTAAGGGTTGTTTGTGTAATTTATCTTTTTCTTTTGTTTTTAATATCTATGTTCGTCTAATATCATATTTACACAATGGGCCTCTCCCTTTAAATATATTACCCTCTGTTTTTCAATTTGTCCAAGTTCGGATCAGATTTTCAATTGGTTGTAATTGTTTGGAGAATCTAGATCAACTTATTTGTATTTTAATTAATTCTCTCTTCAACCCAAGCAAAGACAGACCATACACGTCGGGATTAGAGTGTTCATGAGGGATAAATTTTTTAAGGTCTGACCTCAAATAATTGTCAAAATTTAAACTTAAAATATTTAAATTTACAACTCATCTTGATATTATTTAACCTATAGTCAAGGTTTACTTTGCTTTCTACAACCGCTTATGGATTAAAAAAAAACCCTCCCAGGCATGAATCACAATTGATGGTTAGGTGGCCGCTCTGAATTTCCACATATAGCAATTAAAATAATAATGAACCAATGTGGGATATTTTAAAAAATTTAACCTTTTTTTTTTTTTCCCCAAAGAGTAGATTTTCTACTAGAAGAGCAATGCAACTAGCATGATGATAATGATACACAAAATGGGCAAATGAATGCATTTCCTCACAAAAAAAAATATATACGATTTTTATTTCATCAAATTAGTAGTTTAGAATTTTATAATATGAAATTTCTAACACGTCGAGAATCTTTTGAGATGCCACTTTATATTCAAAATTTTCTTCTACGAGAGTTGGAGTGGAATATTTAGCCCGGAACATTTGAAGGGCAATGATAAGAGTCACTAGTATTAATAATATTATGTGCATACATCCGTCCTAAGATGCCATAATATAAAATCCACTTGTTGATCTGCCTAATGTGGGTACTCTTTCATTCGATTCTCATGTTCTTTTTAATTGTTCTATACAGGTTAAGAACAACTTTTTTTTCTTCTTCTTTGTTGCTTTATTTTTCATATAAAAAGAGTCCATAAATTTCTGGTATTGTATTTTGTTTTGTAACCTTTTTTGCCTCAACACCGACAGGCCTTGAGTATTGGAATCAAGAAGCACTACTCTTTGTTGAAAAAAAGGCCTGAAATTCATGTGGGCTTAAGCACATCGAAGGACAATTTCTATCTGGCAGGGCCAGGCCTCCAAATTGTTGGACAAACATTTTCACAATCCAAGCATTGGCAACATCCCTTAAAGCATCTATAATAATAAAAATTAGTTTAGTTACTCAAAAAATAATATTTTTTATTTTAACTACCCACTTTTTTAATACACACTTCAAAATTTTTTTTATATTTTTTATTCATTTCTTTAAATATTATTTCTCATTTTTTTGTATTAATTTTTTTGTGAGAGTAGTGAAAGAGAGGGAGGGAGAGAGAATGGAAGAAAGGAAAAGATGAGAGAGAAAATGCTATAAAGTTACTACACTAGCACTCTAAATATAGAGTTTCGCTGCAATAAAATATTATTTTAAATGTTCTACAGATGTTTTGTTGGAATAAAATTTTAAAATATTTGTATGCTTTAACTTCTATCTTGAAGATGCTCTTAAACAATTGTTTTGGTGATTATTGTTCGGTTTTGGTAAACATGGCTCATAGGCAAAGTTGAGGCCCAAGAAAACCGAGACAAAAAGAGAATTCGAATGGCATTTTTTCCTGCTATTCATTGACAGTGGGAGTTTTTTTTTTTTTTTTTCTTTTTGGTTACATATAAAATAGATATGTAGATAGGTTATTTTACGTATCGGTTAGAGAGTATAATCCCTCATCACTACATAGTTATCTGCAAAAGACATTACCGTACTTATGTTGGGGGCTGAAACTAAAATCTTATCACGTGTTCTGGGCGCTGAAGAGTTAAAAAAAAAAAAGTCTTACCAAACTGTCATAGGATATAGGGATTCGAACTCAAATATTGAGCGAAGAAATTTGGGTTCTTATCCACTGGACGAGCTGCTAGGTGATGATGGTGCTAATTTTTTGGAGTAAAAAATGAGATCCTTTTTAATACATATTTTTTTTCAATTATTTTTTTATCAACTTACCTACCATTCATTCAAGTAAGATTTATTATATATAATTACTTACCCATTAATTGATAATATGCTTAAAAAATTTGAAAATAGAATGAATCGGAGGTGGTGTTAGAACAAAGGGTCCAAACAAATATATTTCTTATGGAACTTAGAAGAGGAAAACTGAGCACGAATAGCGCCGAGTTTTCTCCACGGAACTAAAAAAATGCAAGAGTGCGGCATTTTATCGAATAGTTGGAAGACTAATGAGGAGAAAGGCAGAAAACGAGTATGAGAACATTTCCGCAGCTGAACAGTGTAGCAAACAGAATTCTCCATCTCATAGGTACATGCACTTCACCAGCTCACATCCAACAAATCCAAGCACAACTCATTCTCCGCAACCTCCACTCCAACACCACAATTGCTTTCCATTTCATCACTGCCTGCCAATCCTTAAACCTTTTGGACTCGGATTTCCTCTACACCCATCTCCAAAGACCCCACGTCTTCATTTGCAACACCCTCATTAGAGCCTTTTCTTACTCCCAGTCCCCGGAGAACTCTATGTCTGTGTACGCTCATATGCACAAAAACTCCATTTCTCCAAATAATTACACCTTTCCCTTTCTTCTCAAGTCTTTGTCAGACCTTAAAGAGCATAAACAAGGCCAATGCATACATACCCAGACCACAAAATTGGGCCACTTTAATGATATTTATGTCCAGAATTCGTTATTAAATTTATATGCATCGTGTGGTCATATGCGCAAGTGTCGACATCTGTTTGATGAAATGCCTCAAAAAGATGTTGTGACATGGACCGTTATGATTACAGGGTACCGGGAGGTTGGGAAGTTTGATGATGCGTTGATTGCTTTTGAACAGATGCAATATGCCGGCGTAGTTCCGAATCGGGTGACAATGGTAAATGCCTTAGCTGCATGTGCGAGTTTTGGGGCACTTGACATGGGTATTTGGATACATGACTGTATAAGGAGGAGTGGGTGGGAAATGGATGTGATTTTGGGGACTTCCTTGATTGATATGTATGGAAAATCTGGGAGAGTTGAAGAGGGCTTGGGTGTTTTCCAAAGTATGAAAGAAAAGAATGTATATACGTGGAATGCCCTTATTAAAGGGCTAGCTCTGGCCAAAAGTGGAAATGAGGCTGTTTGCTGGTTTTCAAGAATGGAGCTAGAGGGTATAAAACCTGATGAAGTGACTTTGATAGCAGTGCTCTGTGCTTGTGCATATTCTGGGATGGTGCAAACAGGTCGGGAAATATTTTCTTCATTAATTGAAGGGAGGTACGGGTTTTCACCAGGTGCCAAACATTATGCTTGTATGGTTGACCTCTTAGCACGTTCTGGGTGTCTGGAAGAAGCTTTCAAAGTCATAAATGAAATGCCATATGAATCTACTAGAAGTATATGGGGTGCCTTGCTTGCTGGCTGTAGAGCTCATGGCAACCTAGAGTTGAGTGAATTTGCAGCTTGGAAGCTCGTAGAGTTGGCACCGGGGAATAGTGCTTATTATGTGGTGTTGTCTAATTTGTATGCTGAAATGGAAAGGTGGAGTGATGTGGAAAAGGTTAGGCGGTTGATGAAAAAGAGGGGACTCAAAAAGGACTTGGGTTCTAGTTCAGTAGAACTTGAGCAGCCCCAGGAGCATCTTAATGACTTATTAACATGACAAGACCCATTGTCTTTGCTCACAAAGAAATAAAATTGATGCATCAACATACCTTCCTATATGCATCTGAATTGTTTCTTTGGACTTAAAAAGAATTTGATGCAGATTATAAAGGCCACGCAAACTGCTGAGCTTTTGCTTCTCAACCAATAGATTGATGAGATTATGTAGATTAATGACTTATTAGCAACTCCAGCAGCATTCTGAGATATATTAAGAAAGATACATTCCTTCTTGTTTTTGTTATTTTCATGAATGGATAGTAAACTAGTGTGATTTTCTTTGCTGTGTTGGGTATTGCAGTGCAATACCATCCTTTTTCAGTTCAACTTTGAGCATCCTGAGTTTCATTGCTATTGTAAGGAAATTACCTGTTTTCCACACATCTCTCGAACTCAACACGAACTCCCTGTTCAAGTCATCTGAATTCTGGATCAGATGATAAATTAAACTCACCTTTCCTCTCTTTCACCTTTACATGTGCCTACTTGCATATGCGCGTGTATATATGGGCACAAAGGAATTGCAGATAAAAGAGAAGTCCTTGTGAACAAGGAATCGCAGAATGAGTGGTTTGTCATAAACACTGATTTATCACTACCCAATTGGGAAATTTTGGGCTTTAACCACTTCATGTTGCAAATGGGAATGACAATTTACGACTCTAGATCATGCCACATCAATTTGCCAAGGAGGGAATGAATTTTATTTGGTGATGACCAACAAAGATCATTGGCCTCTTCACATTGCATTATGGATGATACATTATTTTCGTGTCTTCTCATCAAAGATTTGAAGACAGGAAGATTGAAAAGAGAAAATCACACACTCTTCCCATCAACGGTAGGATGATAGGAAGATTGAAGACACAACAAACACAGAAAATAACATGCCGCTCCAAGGCTGATCAACTCTAAAAGCTTATTAGTTCTACTTCATCTCCAAAACCTTTAACCAAGCTGGCCTTGTCATGATATCAGCACACCATGCGCTCACATGGGGGCGACAATCAAACAGTGCTTTGGCTTTTGTAGCCATCAAGTACTTCATGTTAGGAAGGTGGTGCAGATCAGCCAAGGTGAAGCAGTCTCCACCCAAGTACTTGGACTGAGCCAATCGAGCCTCATACACGTCAAGAACCTTTGACATCTTACCTTCATACTCCTCCACCACTGCTTCATCGGTAACCATGCCAAACATTGGCTTTAGACAAAGCTCCCAGGTCAGCTTTGAAGCTGCCGGGTCGAATTGGTGTGCCTCCACTTCCATCCAGACAGATACGATTGCCATCTTCTTTGTGTCATAAATTACAAGCTGGTTCCCCTTGTCCGCGTATGTGTGTGCAATATATTGGGTAATTGCCCTTGATTCTGTGTAACATTTTGTCAAACACATTATAGACATACAGATTAGAGTAATACACAGTGACTTCAGGTTTATGTTTCGTTTGGTAAGATGAAAAAATAAAAGAATGAAAAGTGAGAGAGCAAATAAAATATCATGTTTGATAAAAAAATAAAATAAGAAAGATGAAAAAAAATATATGAATTAACTTTCCTTTTAACTCATCAAAATTAATTCTTTCAACATTAAGAGAAAAAGTGGAAAAAAAATATAATTATATCCGTTGAAATGCATGCTATTTGTTTATATATTCTTTAATATATAGATATATCATATTTATTAATTACATATTATATATGCATTAATTTCATATATATAGATATAATGATAAAACATGTATAAATTTATAGATTTATAGTCAAGACAATATATATTTTTGTGAAGTATGCATACATTTATAGAGTTGAAGTTCATTGATTGTTGTTCACTTGTTTGAGAACTCCGGTCAAATATATACGATATTAAAGTGTATATGTTCTATACTCTTTCCATAGTGGAAGATATGGTGAAATGATAGTGTTGGGAGTTTCTTACTTTATTTTCTTTTATAGAAATATCAAAACTACTTTATTGAGAGCATGTGTATGTGTATAGGCATAGGAACTACCAAAAAGCTTCAGATCTCCGTCTTCTAAGGCTGGTACTTGACCAAATGGCTACATCAATCAGAAAAAAGGATGTCATGTCACTAAAAGAGCAAAAGAGGAGCAGAAAACAAACCCTCCTAGGACTATCCGGCCATGATTAGATAGATCTGCAAATCGAGTGATTTTTGCAGCAAAACAAGCAAATTTGGGCTCATGAATCAGAGTTACATGAGTTCAAGAAGCATATATTTAGCCTTTCTGCTGTTAATTGGGCGTTTCTCTACTTAACTAGTTTGTGTGTGTGTGTGTGTGTGTGTGTGTGTAGATTGCAGTTCAAGTTGGGGTTAAGCTCACATTGAGGGAAATGAAAGGCTCCTTTTTGTGCTCGCCGGCGGCCATGTTGACCGGTACAAACTCATACTCAAGCCCTTTCTCGTTGAGGCAAGCAAAAACTCGCGTTGCAGCAGTTGAGATTACACTTCCATGGACTTTGATCGCCATTACTGTTACTAAAGATTGATATCAGAATACAAACAAGGAGAAGAAGAAGAATGATGGGCTTGAAGGAGAAGATGGTATATGCCTATATTTATAAGCCAGGACCGGGATTGGGTGTCCATTTTCCACACTCTAGAATGCTTTATAATTAGTTGGTGGGTTGGACCAATCAGTGCTTGACTGAGTGGTAATAAAGTTTTGCATATGCCAAGCTGGGTTTCACATGCATGTGGTGGCCATTGGTTATCTCGTAATTAGATGAAGAATAATGGTAATGTTGGTAAAACGAACTACCAGCCCACTGGGTTGTCAACCAGAGGAGGGATCTACCCTTTGCCACTTATTCTTTATTTATTTATGAACTGTTAATGGTTGTTGTGTAAATATAAAATTATATATATACATATAGGTATATATATATTTGGAGGAATCACACTTTGTACCCTCAAAAATTAAATTTTTTATATTATATCTTTAATGTATTAATAGTGTTGTAATGTGGTCATTCTTAACTCTGTCGCTCATTTCCGTCAAAAATCACCAAATTGAAGTTGACGAAATGAGCAACATAAACTAACAAGAGGACTACATTAATAAATTGACAGTGTAATATCAAAAATCTAATATTTGAGAATATAAAATATAAATTTTAAATTTTTTTTGGGTGCAAAATATAATTCGTCTTTTATATTTGTAATACTTGTACAACCACCACCGGCAAGAGTTTAGTTGTCCTAATCCTTGAGCCAATAATTAAAATAATCAGAGAACCTAACACAAAGACTTGAGGGTTAAAAAAGGAATCAAAAACTCGTTGAAATTAGGCGGCCATACGTTGAATGAAACTTTTTAATCTTGATGGTAATTTACCAGTTCAAATGTGTCCTCATTGCTATCTGTGCGTGCAAGATCTTGCACAATATAAAAAACGAGAACAAATCTCTCCCTTGGTGAACTCGAGTGAGCCGGTTGAGTGACCAAACACGCTGCTTGGAACAACCTGCAAGGTACGGTGATAGCCTGGAACGGCAATGGGAGATCCTGGGAACGGAAGAGCGATTCAGTAAGGCTGAAAGAGGTTCCTGGAACAAAAAAAAACAAATTAGAAGGGCGCCGGAGTGTTTTCCGGCGTATCCCCTCCGACGATCTAGTCAGTCTTTGAGAAAGAGAGAGGAAGGAGAAAACACTGAGAATGTATTGTAGTAGAGAGTTTGTTGTTGCATACCCGCTTCGCCTTTTGCAAGGAGTATTTATACCTTAAAAGCTCATGATTGCTGTCAGTGTGGTCAGTAGGTGATCATTAGGCACAGGTAGCGTGTGTATTGATTCTGATGAGGAATGTCTTCTCTAATTAACTGCTCGGGGTCCCGAGCAATCAATGCTGGATCATCGGGATGCCGACGGTACAATGTGCTCCTCTCGGGGAGGATGCAATAAATGCTCTGTAATAGGAGCATTTATTGCCTTTCATTTCCGAGCTTTACCGCATTGAATGCGGTCTCATCAAGGGAATGGTGCAATTAATTGTTTGTTTTCCCAAGTCGCGTGTCAGCAACAGCATGCGATTTGTCTGTCTTTGATGTGATATCATATGCCACGCGTCCATCCCCTATTGGCTGTGACCTCTGTATTCCAGTACGTTCTGACATTACTCGTGTAAGACGAGGTCATGATGAATAGCCTAGACTAGCCTAGGCTAATGACCTGTACGTCAATAGCTTATCCTGGAGTAGAGGAAGCGTCCAGGAGGGGGTACCTCTCGGCACCGAGGAATGGCTCATCTCGGGGACCGAGGGAGGTATGCCGACCGAGGTACATATCAGACCGAGGCCACGTGTCGGTTGTAAAATATACTTAATGTATGATCCTATATGACGGTACCTCGGGGGCGAGGACCTTTATGCGCCGATGGTGCTTGATCTTAGCAACAACATTTTGGTAATACCGAGGACACGTGTCTTCATCATAGGGTATTTCAGAAAAGTCCCATCAACTGCCCCTCAGCCTTCGATCTTCTGACACCGAGGACACGCGTCGTAAGGAGACGAAGGGTTTCCCAACAACCACCAGTACTTCATCATTGCCTCGAGCCGCTTTTCCCGGCTTGGGATGTCGTGCGCATTAAATGCGTCGTTTCGTTTTTCGCGCCCAATGATGAAAATTACCTCTATATAAAGGGGGCTCCTCTTCCGTTTTCCTCGTTTTGCCATTTCGAACTTCCTCAAGAGAGCCTCTTCTTGAATCTTCGCCGGAGTTTTGCTTCTTCTTCCATCGTCGACTGCCCATTCTTCCTTAAAATCTTAAAGCCAGCAGACCCATCGTTGATTCTGAACTTTCTGGAGGGAGTCGCTTTAAGGTTTTCCAGAAAAAAAACTCCGTTTTGACATTCGGGTGAGTTTCAGAATCCCCTTTCTTTTCTTCCTCCTAGCTTTTTGTTTTCCGATTGACTGGAGGTGTCATCCGGTCGATACATAGCGATTTAACCCTCGGGAAACTTCCTCAGGGATTTTCAAGAACAAATACCCTCTTCTTTCTTACTTTTTTAGAGATTCCTCGTCGTCGCCCTGCTCCCGAGAATCCTCAGGCTGGTCCCTCGGGGTCGGAGAAATATAAAGTGAAGGGTGATGAGCAGATTGGTAGGTTTAAGGTCAAGTACGGCAATCCCCCGTGCGTAGACGTAGAGGATTATGACCCTGTGTTGCACTCTTCTACCCTCGGGGCCGAGGATGCCATGCCCTTTTATACCAAGGCCATAATAGAGGGATGAATTAGGTTTCCTTTACCCCCCTTACTTCTTCAGTTCCTTTCTCATTTTCGCCTCTTCCCCGGGCAATGTTGCCTTAATATTTTTCGAATAATTATAGGGGTCTTAGAGCTCAATAGGCGCCTCGGGGTAAATATTGGGCTCAATGATCTCCTTTTTTGTTATTCCCTCCTGAGAGTCATGCCTCACCAACACTTCTACCTCAAAGCCAGGGACCCCTCCATGTACCTTGTAACTCATCTTCCGGACTCGGACAAGGGGTACAAGGATGATATTCTTATCTTCAAGGGATCTTGGCAGAGAGGTGTTGGTCCCGAGTATAATGACTTGTTATGCCCTCTGGAATGGAGAACGACAAGTACGTCGGTTCCTTTGGGTTTATTATTTCTTTCTCCAGACTTCCCATGTTCATGACTATTTTGTTTGTGCAGATATTCCTGCTCGGGAAACAGCTCCTCCCCCTCGGTCGCTGGTGAACTTTGCCGACCTAATCACGGTTTGGAGATTCACGGGTGACAACGGGTTTGGCCGTGCTGCTCACATCCTGCTGAATTATACCCCCGGGTATAAGAAATTTTCACAGCTTCCTCAGCCTTTTGAGCCTTCGCGGTGGTCTGAACTCTTCGATCAGGCGGCGAGGTTAGAGGTTGAGGAAAACTTGGAGGAAGACCCGGATCGGGCTTCGGAGGCAGAGGTAGAGGGAGTTGCTGAAGAGCTCGGGGTCAGAGAGGACGTTGTTCCTTCGGACGCCGAGGTGGGGACTTCGGGAGGAGACTTGTGGCCAGACTTCCAAGTTCTTCAATCCTTAGACGCCGAGGACGCCCTCGAGGTCGCGATGTCCAGCACCCCTCGCATTGATTTGGGGTTCCTTAGGCAGAGGCAAGCCCTCGCAGCCGGGAGGGTCGAGCCCCTCTGCAGGGACCAGTTCCACCCCATCCTCAAGGGTCCTCGGTCGGGGTCAGGTGCGAGACCGGGATCCTCAAGTGGAGGAGGAGAGAAGGGTCAAACATCGGCATGATGGCCTCGGCCGAGGATCCAGGGCACTTCCCGCTCAGCAGCAAAGCGGGAGAGGCCGTGGGTTACCCCCTGCTCCTCCACAACAGCAGCAGCAGCAACAGCCACGACAACAGCAACAACAGCAGCAGCAGACTTCCCCTTCCCTTCCGCCTACAGTGGAGGCCGCGGAGTGGAATCCCCGAGCCACTGATCACATGAACCGAGTGATCAGGGTCGATGATTCCATTTTGCTGGATCCTCATGTCGCCAATGCAGTGAGTGAGACACTGCATTTCGAGGCTGACATGGCGGCTCATAGGGGGCGATCAACCAACGTGTTGTTCCGCTCCATCATCCAGAATTCCCTGGTGGTGAGTTCATTTTTGCTTTGGTTCTTCTCTCTTGCTTTCCATTTTGTGATAACACTTTTTTCCCTCCTTTGCAGGCTACCCAGCAGATCTCCATAATAGCTGCTCGGTACCATGGGTCTAGGATGGACCTCCAGCGGGCCCGAGAGCAGAAGGAGGAGGCGGAGGGGGCCCTCGCCCGAGCAATGGAGGATGTAGCTGCCAGGGACTCTACCCTGGCGGGGCAGGCTGCTCAAATCGAGCAACTCCTCAAGGACGCCGAGTCGGCTAAGGTGGCGCTGAAAAGCTAAGTGCTGCCCTTGCCGATGCTGAGGGGAGGATAACCGAGCAGACGCGGCGGCTTTCTGCTGCGGAGGAGAGAGGGCGGTAGGCTCAGAGGAAAGCTGTCTGGCTCTACCCAGGAGCTGGACCGGATCAGAGCCGAGGCACTGAACAGAAAATCGGAGGAGCAACTCGGGAAGAGTTGCCGATGACGTGCTCCCTGCTCTTGAAGAAAACAGCAAGGAGTTCTTCAAGAAAGGGTGGGACGAGGCGCTCCAGTCTGCTGGAATCCCTCAGACTCCCCGCTCTTCCAAATGCACAAGTATGTGCCCTCGGCAGAGATGGCACGGGCCGAAGCAGAGATTGCTGCCGAGGATGAGGTCCCAACGCCGGTGCAAGTGTCGGCGGATCCGCCCGAGGCAGTGATCGTGGATTTGTCCGAGGACGCCCCGTCGGACCATGCTCCTGATCCTCAAGTTGCCCAAGTTCTCCCTGTTGCCGAAGTACCTCTCCTGCCTGCTCCAGAAGCTTCTCAACCATTTTTTGCTGACTCGCCCTCGGCTGATGTTCTGGAGATGCCTGGAGCCAGATGAAGCCCTTTTGCTTTTTGATTGTACCCCTTTTATTTTCTTTTGTAGCCTTTGGGGACGCAAAGCCCTTCTTCTTGAAATGAATGAGTATTTTTTCCTTTTTTGCGCACAGTAGTTTTTTTTTTTTGAACTGTCTTCGGGGCTGCTTGCCCATTCAAGAGGCTTGC